TTGTTTGTGTGGAGCAGTTTTATTAGTAATACGATATGTGAATATGGATGTGTATCGTATACTCCATGTAAGTTTTTGGAATTGTATTTGGTCAATATAAATCTAAGCCTTTTGGTTTGCGATTTTTTAATACAAATCATATTTAAGCTAAAGTAAATACATTTCACCACACATAGAAACACTTTGCAACCATTATGATAACAGTGGAGCAAACTTGGTTGATAAGTTATAAAAATTCTTAAGGATTTTAATATATATAATACAAGTAATAGTATTGAATTCATCATATAAATAAATTACAAAGTAAATCTATAAAAAGGTTTAGTTAGAAATAAGCGGGTTTTTTTATTAACTTTGATAGCTCTATAACATACTTACATCAGGGATTGGAATCTCGGTAAAGAAAGCTGATAGATAAAATAAACCTGCCACATACAAACAACTTTAACCAAAAATAAACAACAAAGCAGCAGAGTTCTCAGTTTAGCAAGAAGTAGTGCCAATCTATCTGTCATTATCGAGAATTGCTTAATAGGTACTGTATGCTTCACCGTATGAGATGGTGACACCGCAAACCATCTAAAAAGTTCACAAAATCGTTTTGACAGATCATGACACCTGAAAGATTTCAAAGGAAAATAATGGCTTCATTTTGCATCAACATTCGTCTATGAGAAAGCTGTTCTCGAAGCGTGTGACGCTTTTCCTGACACTTGACCAAAAACAACAATGCATCAATGATTCTGAGACCTTTTTGGAGCTACTGAAATAAGATGAAAAGAACTTTTTGCGTTAGTATGTTACAATGAACTACTTCACCCTAGAGTTGAAACAATAGTCAGTTGAATGGACAGCAGCCGTTTTGGACTTATCAGCCGATTTATAATGTGTCCCGTCATTGACTCATTTGTCCGATTTTCCTCAGATTAAGTGTAATTTTCTTAAAAGATTACTTATTTTACAGGATTGTTAAAACTTGGTAGGGAATAACTTTGTATGGTGTGAAAAAAACGATGCAACATTTATAAGTTCAACTTCTCCAGAAAAAGAGACATTTAATCATTTAACAGAGTACTTACAATATTGGTTTGTTGAGTAAAACAGTGGCCTGGAAGGAAATAGCATGTCTAATAATATTGTTTGTGGTTGCCTGACCTTGCTTTGAACCAGCACAAAGATGTTATAGCAAACAATAGTCTCTCCGTCTAATACTAGGAGACATTACTGTTTCTTCAACAGGAAACATTATATCTTTTATTCGTGAAATGTGATCACTTTCCTACGGTTAGGAATACTTGTAGTTCAAAAGAAGATCTGGTGATTGCAGTGTTCTGTTGTTAATAAGTCCTTATCTCTTATTTATCTATGTATATCCAAAATGTTAAAAATTTTTTTTATATATATCTAAATCTATATATATATATCTATTTGTATATATTTAAAGTATTAAGTTGCTGTTTCCTATTTATCTATTTATATATCAAAGTATACAAAATCTCAAAACTTATAATTGGTTTTATTTTTTAAGAAATTTTAGCTTTTATTTCGATTATTATTTTTTGTATTTATATATATATATCTATACGTATTTTGGCAAATTCGCTTTCGCTTTCATCAGGAGAATTCCTAATATTAGGAAATCCTTACAAAATAAAACTGACTTTAAAACTTAATTTAATCTCATAATTTAACTAGATTTGCAGTTCTTAATTAATTCATGAAACTCGTATACTCATATTGTTTTATGTGCATTTGTATTATAAATAATTTAAAGACATGCTTCTTTTCACTATTATTCGTGTTTTTAACACTAATCTACAGTTTATAGATGACTTTAACAATCTAAATGTCTTTGCTTTTGTATAGCATTGCTTAACAGTAATAAACTAGACTAGATATTTACGTAAAAATCTTTAAAGCACTTCGATTTTACAAAATGTAAATTTTCACAGCCTTTATAACCAATTGCACATAAATAAAACACAACCCAAAGGCAATTTATACATCAAAAGATACAATACACAGATTTTACAAAATACCACCTATCTCTATCTATTGCTACTACATTTCCTTACTTATCGGATACCACCTATATTATTTTCAGCATTTATATACTTTGCATATTCAGTTCAATTTGGGAAATTTTTATGGCTGCTACATTTTAGCTTTATGAGTAGAATTTCTATTATTTTACTTAGACAATTGTCAGCAGTTTCTTGAGTTATTTAATGACTTTGTTTATTTCCGTTGACTCAATTCTTCTTGTACTCCAACTTGGTACATCTGAGTTAGAGTCGAGGCCGTCGTATCTTATTTCATTTTGTGTTATTATTTTTATATCTGCGCTGCTTTGTCTGTAAATGTAGACACACTGGCTTTAACAACAATTTCCAAACAATCTTTATGACTGATTTTAATGCAAACGCACAGAAATTTATGCCAGAAATTCGCAAGAAATACGTTCTATTAGATTAAGTAAAATACATAATTTTGTATCTAAACGAATATCAGTGCTTTTTCCCATTTATGCAAAAAAGAAATAGTTAAAATTCGCATACATATATATGATATCTATATATATCTATATATGATTATATTGAGCATTGAGCATATATACTATATATGAAATAAGACGAGTATATAAAAATAAATCGATAACATTATTTTGCTAATATACAAATAAACATAAAATATATATATTTTTTTTTTCCAAGAAACAATGACATTAATAAGTGAACACAAATATCGTGCGAAACTTTATATGAACGTCACACAAAATTACCAGCAAAGAAAAATGTAATATTTCTGTACTACATGACGTATGATTGATATTAAACGCTGCCCACAAATGCTATATGCATACGTCATTTACATTGTTTTTAATAAAGTTGTAAGCAATGTGAGATAAATTATTTTCGATATAAAATCTCCTACTTGATTATTGTAAAATTATTGAAAATATTGCTTCATAATATGCAAAATTGATAAAAAAGTTTTATCTGGAAAATCAGTAAAAACTATTCTGAAATTCTGAAAATCTGAAAATTTGAATTAAAGTTCAGTAATTAAAAATGATTTTCAATTCAAGAGTTTTTACATGCGTTGGTGGTTGCATTTTTAACTGAAATATTCTATTGGGAAAAAATTCCAAAATAGAATAGAGGTATTTATATACATATTTCCGCTCCTATCTACATATATTTACATACTCAATTACGAGTTCATCGGTATTTTTCAAGCTATTATATGTGAAATTGAGTAGAAGTATTTATGCAAAATTGAATAAAAATTCAATGCATGAAAATGAAGCAGAAAAAATTAATTTTTTTAAAGTACATATACATACATGTTTTCATATATACATAAAACTATATATATATATACAGTATTCCCCCTATAACGCAGTACCCTTATAATGCGTTTTCATATTACCCGATTCAAACCCCCATATAGCTTCGCATACCTTTGCACGTGTGTATACGGGAATACTACTATAACGCCATTTTCTATAACGTGGAACCAATCTACCGCGTTATAGGGGGGATTACTGTACAACGCTATTGTTTTTCAATTTTATGAAGTAAATTTTATAAAGAATATATTTTACTAAAAACTTTCAATGCAAAATATTTGTATGTTAAAATTTACATACAAATATATGTGTAAGTAAATATATGTATATATACATACTGCAATTAGTGAAAAAAAAATTTTTTTTTATAAAGTTATATAAAAACTTTTTGCAATTTTCCGTTTTTATATATTTTTTGGCGGCTTCTATATTTCATAATTTATGTAGTAAAAATAATTGTTACGATTTTTGGCAAGTCCTCAATGCTCGTTATGAATGCATTTATTTAAAAAATATTTTTTTTAATGCCAAATCGTATTTAATATGCAAAATTTTTAATGGTAATGCATTATCATTGGTAATTAGTTTTAGCAGACGATGTCATTTCCATTTACGAACTTTAGAAATATGAAAGCCATTGTAATAAAATATGCCGAAAGTACTCGTAATATATTAAAATATAATTACATTGAATTATATTTAAAAACTAATATTTTTAATAGTACATACATAATGGTATAGGTTGAATTAAATATTTTCTAAAGTCAATGGAAATTAAAATGAAAGAGCTGGTTTTTTTTTTTCTCATAAAAGCACTTTATATTAATTAAAATTGAAGGCCTTAGCAAATTATTTAAATCATAAATATAAGTTTAAACTTTGTAACTTGCAGCTTAGATAGTAACAATATTTTTTTATAAGGGTTTTCGAATAACAAAGAAAGAATATTTTTTTATACTCAATCTATATTTAAAATAATAAGCAAAATTTTTAATAGATAATGATCGCAGGCAATCAAAGTAGGTGGTTTCAATGAAAAACACTTACTTTCATTAAATAATCAGAATCTTGGCATTACGTTACGCCAGGAATTTAAGAACACCTCAAATTCGATTTAATAGGTTTCGACTGGCAGACCTATTATTATATCCTATTTTATAGGATTGAAGGGGATTTAGCCTATCTTTATTTTTATCTCTATCATCCACATCAACAATGTATGATAATGTATGATATAATACACCAATAGGTTAGGTTAGATTGGAGTGGCGGCCTTGTGTACCAAAAAAGCCCACTTGAGCTTAAATAATGGCCCGTTGTGGTACCACAGGAATAGCGTTGGATACATGAATAGGTGGTACATAAGTAAGTTGATCAGTATATGACCAACGTCGACAGTTCTATGAATCTGACTAGGTCCCTAATATTGTACGATAACACCTCAGTCGTTTAGAAAAGGGGCCTCCAAGATTTTTGATCTCATAATCATGATAATATACCTCTTCAAATACTAAAAAATTTATATGTTATAATCACATTTGATTAAAAATATATATAAAGTAGTTTATAAACAGTAGGCGATGATTTTTTAAAAAAAAGTTACTTAACATAAAAAAAATTATTTTCATTATTATAAATTTTTACATTTTGTACGATATGGTTTATTTGCAATAAATCTCTAAAATTTAAAGCGATTGGCAGCACTGTTTTTCTGTATGTTAACAGAAAACAACGAAAAAAAAAATCACTATTTTGATTTTGAAAATCGTATGGTTGTCTCCATTTCCGTCGTGTGAAAGGTAAAATATAAAATTAAATTTAAAAGTGGTCTAAATCAGTTATATAAAAAAAACATTTAAAGGTCAAATTCTCAAAATGTCTGGACGTGCTGCTGGTGGTAAAAAGAAGACCGTGAGAGCCCCTAAGAAGGACGTTAAGGATGTGGACCAAAACGAACATGAGCAGGTGAATAAGGAGAAACAGACGGAACAGGCCAAGCCGACCACTAGTGCTAAACCTAAATCCTCTCCAAAAGGCGGTAAGAAGTCCGGAAAGAAGTAAAGCGTTGCCAAATGAGTTTTTTATATATATATTTTTTATATATATAATGGTTACACATCAATAGAGAAACGAATTATGCATTTGCAATAAACCAAATAAGTACAAATTAATTGTGTTTTGTTAAAGAGGAAAAGTAATTAATATTAAAACATCATTATGCAATATACAATATATAAGTGGAAAATATAGGAACTTTAAGGATTTAGCGTATTTGAATTTAAAAAAAAAATTGTGTTAGAAATATATGTAAGGGCTAACTTGATTTCAAATTCTGAAATTTTATGATTTAAGTCTTAAAATTCATAGTACCTTAAAAATATATATTATTATATTGAGATATTGAGCCTTGACTGGATTATAGTTTATTACTTTACAGACTAAGCAATATCTAACCTCAGATCTGCATACCTCCCTTAGGAGTAGTGATTCCCATTTTCTGTACAAAATCATATAGAAATCTGCTAATGTGCTTTTTTTTTTTTAATTCTTGTTTTTTGATAATATTCATTAATAATATTATAGACCTTACAACTTCCCTTATGAAAAACTCATCATTTTGTTTTAATGTTTATTTATTGCTTTCGGTCACAGCCATTTTAATTACAGTTAAATATGGATTACAGTATTCTTTTAAGTATCTGTTAACTCCTCAATGTGTTGAATGAAATTGCAACTCGATATGCATAGCAATGTAAACAGATCGGTAGTAATAACAGAGCATGAACAGAGCATAATAAATTTAATTAAAAGCCATAAGAATTGCTTTTGCTTTAAATGATAGTAATATTTTTAATTATTTAATTCCTTTTAGTTTTTCGGTGTCATTAAATGATAATAATATTTTTAATTAAATACCGAATTACTTTGAGCAATGAAGGAGGCTTTGCGGCCAACAAGTCGAAATGAAAATAAAAACATGCGAACAAAGTCAACACTCATAAAACAACGGTTAACTTCCGCCATCGCGTTGTATATGTAAATAAAAATAAATATGTATATGCATAATTAAAGCTATGCATTGTATATTCATTTGTACATACAACACCACATATGTACACATAAATTTTTTAAATTATCCTTTATTTTTTCTGTTAATATTTCACTAACAACATCATCATCATCCTCAGCAAAAACATCAACAACAGTATTTGCTCTGCTGCCTTCTGTAATATATTTGCTCTTTATGTAGTGTAACTACAGGAACATGAAGTGCTGCACACACAAACACACACAGACACACTAGCACATTTATTTACCTGTGTTCGCTCGCAATGAGTGCATAAATACAAGTATTTTCCATAAAAAGTACAAGTGCTTATATTTCACTGTACCCACATAATGTGTATGTGTGTTTGTGTATTTGTATTTTAATATTCGTCGCTCACACGCATTGCTCGTCACATTGCAAAGCTTTTGTGACTTTATTTTTGTGTTGTTGTCTGTTGTTGTTGCCTTTTGATTTTTTTGTTTGTTGTTGTTTTGCGTTGAGTACCATTTTACATTTTATGCCAGCGTTTTTATAAATTTTATTAACATTTCGAGAGTGTAATGTGGGAACTTACACAAATTTACAGTTTGACAAGTTTTAAACAAAAGAAACAACAGTTCAAGAATAACGAAAGGTGGAAAGATTTTCTGAGTAAAAAAAAGCGAAATAAGAAATTATTAAATTCAAATTTTTTTTATCAATAAATTCTTTTCTTATTAGTTTTTAATTATGATTTATTTTAATTATTTTAGTTTGTGTTTATATTTTAATTTTAATATTAAATTATTATTATAATTTCCATACTCCATTAGTATCTTAAGATATTCTTTTATTTTCTACTATTGCTCTCAACTAGTTAAACGATTTGCCCGTCTCCTGTTGAACTGTCCTTCTCCAGGTCATTGCTGATCTGCCTCAGTGCCTAGTTCCCTGGGGGTTCCAAGTAATTGCAGCATGTGCGATATCTTCATAAGGCTTACGCAGTGTGTGTCCAATCCAACCATACTTTTTTCTTCTTATCTTGCTGTTTACGTTTGCTAAGTGTGTTATTCTCCATAACTCTTCATTCGAAGAGTTCTAGATCACCATATAAGTTATCATTATACACATAAAATTCATTCTTTTACCATTGAAAATGTGTTTACATAGCATTTGCATGGGAATTTTCTAATCTAATGGTACTTTTATTCGCCAATTTTCGTCATTGCCGCCGTTATTGAGTGTTTTTAATATTTTATTGTCTTCTTTCGCACTGCATAATCGCCGTACAATGCCGAAGAGTCATAACTAAACGAAGAATCAGTATTTTATGAACCAGAATAGATATTAAAATAAAATTTTATTGATATTATACAAGTATTTAGTACACTAAATATTATTTTTCGGTTCCGTTAAGCTCTTCTCAAAAACTAAATTGAAGAAAAATTTCATTTCAATATCTCTAATCGTTCAGAAAATACAGAATTTTGAATGTCTAATTTTGTGCATTGGTGGCAGGCATTTGTGTAGTGTGTATTAAATATGAGATTTTATTGTTATTAATCTTTTGACGTCTCCAGAGTTTAGTATCAATAAGCCAGGGTTTAGTGATCCACCTCACGTGCAGTGTGATTGTATCTACTAGACCTTATAACAGTGGTTCCCAACCGATCATACGCGGTGGACCATAGTTGATATATAGCTTTGTAGTTTTGATTTATCAAAATCTCTTTTGGTTTTCTACACACCCACTACCCAGCATGTAAACTAATTTTCAATCTGCCGAATTTATCAAACAATAAAAATTAGTTCACCGAAATTAAACCTTAATTACTCTAGTGTGGCATGGACCAATAACTTTGTAATTAAATTTATTTGCACAAATTTAATTATAGACAATTAAAATAAGATTGCATAAAACGTTATATAGTTGAACCCTAACGTAGTGAAAATACTGAAAATTTTTCTCAGTTAATAAAAAAAAGATACTTTAATTTATTTTATTTCAATTTGCTCTGCCAACATAAAAAACACAATTGTAGCACTGAACTCGAGTGCATAACAACAGAACAGATTCTTATGTTCAATGTTGCACTGCTCACCCAAGACACGAACACACACAGACAGACTTTATTGCAGAAACGATAGCAGTGCTCGGTAGTAGAAAGGACGTCTGACACTTGAAATATGCAACACAATGTACAACAATCCAAAAGATACATCGTTTTATTTATGTCGTTAAGCATTTTTCAAGTGTTTCGAATTGTTTTAAAACAGAGCGTGTATACAAACCAAAATATGATGAAGATAAACTCAACACGATGCAAATTTTAATCCTTCCATCCATCCCCCTTCTCCGTCCTCTCCTCATTTCTCACTAGAAATCTTCATATTCATTTTTTTATTTTTGTGCAAAAATGTGTGCAAAGTTTATCTGCGTATAATTGTGGTTTTCTATAAATTATGCCAAGTTGACGACCTTGGGTAGGCATATTTCAGATTTTCACATTTTCCACATTTTTACATTTTATGCTGAAGTTGAATTTTAGCTTTTCATTTTTTACTCTTCACTCTTTTCACTCTTTTCAGTACTCAGTATTTAGTATTCAGTTTTATGGCAATAGAATGCGGCTTACCACTTTGCTATGGTTTTCACTATTGGTGCATTCATTGTAGCAGATCCATTAGAAGAGTTGGAATGCATCTACTATATGTGGGAGTGTGGCATTTGTGGATAGACCCAAGTGCGTTTTCAGAAGAAATGTTTTATTAGAATTAAAACTGCATAGTTCAGCATTTCAAAAGTACTGAATAATTTGTTCAGATTTCAACAATTTCAGTTCAAGTTCAAATTGTTGAAGTTATGATTTCAATAAAATGAAATAAATTTCCATTTATCCAGAAACATTAAATAAATAATTTTAATTAAAAAAATGGATTATATTGTGGTATTTCGGATTTATTTATTGACTAAAATATATTGTTTGGTTTATGTGCAAACCAAATAAAATACTCAGTTAGTATATAAATTTTATTGTGGTATTTTATCACTTAATTAAAATAAAATGTATTTTAAATATGTATTTTATAAGGATATTAATTTAATCTTTTTCATAAGATGTTAGGCGATAGTAAAATTAAAAAATATGTATCTAATAATGTTTTGTTTTTTATTCTCCTTGATTTATTTTAGTTTCATATTCTAAGACATTTTTTTTTAATAAAAATAACAATGAATAATATTCTACTAAATTGACACTAATAACTTGTCCCCGACTTTTACGAATATCAGAGCACTGTTTTTACCTTTGCACTGCGACCAAACCAGTGAAACTGCTGGATGCTAATTAGTATAACGATATCATTGGAATCCCCTGCGTCCTCTTCTATTACCGGTTCAAAATTTTCTTTTATAGAACATTATTTTCTATCTCAACGCATCAATCATCAGATGCTTATTAGTAGAATAATGCCAAAGAGGTACCCTTTATTAGGCTCTATTTCTATTTCGATAGAGCGCTGTTTTCTACGTTTACAACGTGACTTGAGACTATAAGTTGAATGTAGAAATAGAAATCAGACTTGATTTCTGCTTTTGAAATCTGCTATGTAAAAAAACCAGGTGAATAGCTAATTTCTAATGAGTGGAGAAAACATCACTATTGTCTAGGTAACATATTGTTATTGAACAATACACTGAGGGCATGGCTTTGTAACCATGATATGGTTATGAGGCCGTGACAGTGACAAAGCTTCAAAAGCTGGAGTTTTGAGCACAAAGAAAAAGTATACAGATTGAAGTTTATCTACTTTTCTACTTGAGTTTTTTTTAAGAAAATAAAAGTTAAAAATATATATGTCATATTTCAGTATAAAACAAACGCTTTGAAAGTTAGAAATATTTATCCAGGCATCATAAAGCAAAAGACAAAGCACTAAATCATGATCATATCCAATCTACACTCGTTTCTTAGCTCTCATAATAGTATATTGCATGCAATTTTTGCCTATAGTTAGCATAATTAAGAGATATTAAAAAAAAAATCTTTCGGAATATATTGAATGCGTATGAAGAAAGGTTAAAAAACATAATCCCCTAGTAAGGTTGCCATCATAATCAAGATACGAAATAACGAATAGAAT